CCTGGAATGAAATGTAAAGAGTTTGCGTCCAGAGGAGGATAAAGTTGGTCACCCACTTTGCATCATCTACTGTGTAGCTCACAAACTGGAACTGGCTGTACTTGATGCTGTGAAGAGGTGCCCTTACCTTCCAACATTTGAGGATACAGTGAAAGAGGGATACAAGTTTTTTTATTATTCTCCAAAACGGCGAAGATAGGTTAATTAATTTGAGTTAACTAGTAAAGATATATCTAAATCGTTGACTATTTCAGTGGCTGCAAAAGTTCACACATGGTCCTTGGAAAGGAAGTTTCAAACTGTTTCTTAATTCTCAAACTGCCACGATGTTCTTAATTTGGTTTTCTAAAAAAAGTTCCCTTCAAGTCTTTATTGTGGGAAACCAGGAAGGACCTGGAAATAAAAAGTGAGACAGCCAGGCAACCAAAAAATTAGCCCTACATGTTCACTTATCCCATTTATGGAGAAAAGTGTGTTTTCCTGTAGTAAATCAAATGGATTTGCCTCAGTTCCACTGGAAATACCTTACAATTACTCGTTTACCGGTTTTTACCAAACTTGTCAGAATTGCTTTGTTGTAAAATTACCAGCCCCTTACTTAAGTGCTCGGCGTTAGCAAGCCTTATTGTTTTGATCGAAATTTTAAACCTGGGATTGTCATGAAAGAATATGACCTCATTGATAAGGGTACATGCTTCGCACGCTCCATGTTGTTGAAGTATAAGTCATACAAGACTGTTTATAACCGAATCTTTTGCAGTATTTTTAAAAATACAAATGGAAAAGATTGCACATGTTTTGACCGAGGTTAAACCTGTATCTCCCTACATCTGATCGTTAATTCTCTCCTCTAGCTGTTACACATTTCCTTGTAAATTGGTTACGAGAATTTGGTGTTCGGCCACGATAAATTCTACCCGAATAAGTTTGAGTATTCACATTACCTGTTTGTTGGATAATGTATGAATATTATAGGGAGAGTTATACGTGAATCACTTCTGGGGGTTTGAGGGTGTAACTTGAAGGACTTTTGGACTTTCCCGCTTCCTTCTTGAATGAAAACAGAACAGCTTTAGCGGTCCGTTCAGTTACCGGAACCTTCGAGAAACGGGCTCCAGCGGAACCTTTTTTCGATCTGATAATTCGTGCTTTTAATTACATGGGGGAGGGGGGGGGGGGGGCTGAAGGGGGGTTGGAGGATTTGAGCTATTTCAAGATAAAATTTACCTGGTTCCCCCATAAGGCTCTCTAATATTCTTCTCTAATATTCTCATCATGCCAGCCTTGGATGTTGCAACAAAATCTGAAAATTTGAATATTTGCGAGCGAAACAATGGCCGGCGTTTTAAGTAGGTTTTCTTTCGCCACCGCAGCTGAAAAACGGCTCAAACAACGAAAACACTGTAAAAAGTACTGCTTTTTGGTTGTCGGTTTGGAAAAATTGGTGTTTAGTGGTGTGGTGTTTAGCCCTGCGGGCTCGTGCAATTTTGTTAGTCTTTAAAAAAATTTACTCGTGCTTATTTATTCCAAATTGCACTCGAAATCATGTGATTACCTATACTAATGTGTTTATGTCGACAACACACCTGAACGATGATAGCTTTTATAAATTTTCTAAGCACCCTAAGGCTACACCAGCAGAGTATTTTAAGTATTAATTTAAGTAATTGTCTTATCGTTGAGAGAGAAACATTGAGAAATTAGTTTTCAAACCTAGAAAGCTCGAAATTTGATTGCGTTGACAAAAATGAAGAACGAGCGAGCATGGGTATGAAGGGCAGAGAAACACACGGATCAGAAATACAAAACCGTTGACGAAGCCCTTCAAAACACAAGCGAAAATAAGTAAGAAAATCTGCATGATAAATCAGATCAAATAAATATGACACCAGCTCATTGAACATTAATAGAACGAGAAGACTATAGTTAAAAAGCGGAAGAGTTAAAACAGGTCTGATTGACGCTGCAATATTTGTCAACTGAAACATCAGGGTGGAGCATTTTTATCCAATAGCAACTGCTGATTGGGCAACACTGCGACAGGACGCCTATACCAGATAATTATCGTCCGTAAAAGGTTCATTTGCTGAAAAAAAGAAGGAAAGACAGAGCCAGACGTCTGAACGTAAACACCAATGGCCGACATTACAGGCATATCATTACAATTACCAATTGGTGTCCTAACATCTCTCCTCGCTTTCAACATTATCCTCTCCTTCATCGCATCTCTGGGTAATGTTCTGATCCTGTTGACACTTTATAAAGTTTCCTTTCTACATCCTGTGACAAAGCTCCTGTTTGCATGTCTGGCAACTACCGACCTTTGTGTGGGTCTCTTTTCACAGCCTTTGTTCGTAGCTAATATGATACTTAACATTGATCTTGCCAACACCGACTTGGGTATTTTGTCCCAAATGAACGAAGTTGTTTTTATCTCCAGTAATGTGTTGTGTGGAGTGTCTGTGTTGATATCGACAGCCATCAGTGTGGACAAACTTCTTGTCCTGTTGTTGAGGCTAAAATACAGACAGGTTGTGACTCTGAAGCGAGCTCAAGTTGTTATACTTTTTTGCTGGGTAACTGCTGTTTCATGTGGATTGGTTCACGTCTGGAGTCAAACGATTTCACAGATTTTCGTTTTAATGATTGGATTGGTTTCTTTAGTTACTTCCGTGTTTTGCTACGTAAAGATCTACCTGAGACTACAGGGGAATCAGGCTGCAGTAGAAGAGAGCTTTGGGGGTGGACAGTCAAACGAAGATGAAGAGGTGGGTGGAGGAGAGAAAGGGGCAGGAAGAGCCACAGAGGAAGGAGTAGGAGAAACGACAGGGGCAGGTAGAGACACAGAAGAAGAACCAGGCGCAGGAGTAGAAGGCACGGGAAGAGCGACAGATGGAAGATGTTTAAGAGCAGGGGCAGCAAAAGTATCACCAAAGCGAAGAATTCAAGAAAGAGTTCGACTGAATATCGTACAATATAAGAAAGTAGTTTCCAGTATATTCTGGTTGCAGTTGACTTTAGTAGCATGCTATGCCCCTTTCATAACTGTTTCATTATTGAGACATACATTGCTCAGTGGAAAAACAGTTTATAGTCTTTGGTTGTTCACGGTAACTTTAGTTTATTCAAATTCATCTCTGAATCCCTTTCTTTACTGCTGGAAGATCAGAGAAGTGAGAATGGCAGTAAAAAACACAGCCAAGGCGTTTTGCTGTTGTTTGTAGTTGAAGGTTGCCTGTATTCATGCGAAAAGACTTCCGTGTTCTTAAAACACCAGAATCTCATAAAAACCGTTAATATTTAAACAAAAGTTTTGTAGAACCTAGTTAAACCGCCTATGCTGCCTCGAGTCTCCTATATCTCAGTGGTAGAGCACTCTAAGTACTAATCGGTAGATCGTAGGTTCATCGTCTCTCACTTTAATGACAGGCTTCAAAGATAACAATCGTCTACAATTCAATATCATAGCACTGGGAAATAATTGAATACTGACAAGCTATAAGTGCCCTCGAAAAATTCGAAAAATTAATTACCATGTAAATAGGAGCTATGTAGAATTTTCATCCTCTACCAGGAAGAAGAACTGACATCCATTAGTCTTTATCGTTTAGAATAACATAATTAAAATGATTGATTTTTTCCGCTTTCTGCTTTAAACCAGTATTCTAATATGTATTCAAAGATTGCACATACATAAACAAAACATTTCCGTCAGGTAAGATCATGTTTTTGTTCGATATGCCCTGTCCTCGCTTATGTTACCCTAAAAACGAGAGAATAGACTGAATAAATCGTGTTCAGTGAGGTTAAAAACAACATTTTCATTTGAAACCTTTTCACAGTTTCAGTCGGAATCATTCAAATGCGCGTGCCCCCTAGACCGTATATAAGCGGCGTTTTCAATCGAGGAATAGTGTTCATTTCCCTAACTTAACGTCATTGGGTCAGCTCCTCCATCCATTCATGTAAACAGAGTGAACCAATGCTTTTTGTTGTTTTTTTCTTTTCTCTTACAGCCGACTTAGCCCCAGAATCAAGAGGAAAAACCTCCACATAAATACAATTAACCTTCACTTTGAAATGCGTCATATTTGAATATTAAATAGGACCACATTATACTTCGAGCAAGTTGCGGATGCCACAAAAATGGCGGAGAAGTGATTACAGCATCTCTCTCATATTTTGTCAATAGTAAATTCGGTAAGAAAAAACAACGAGCACCAGTTAAACTTCAAGTGCTCTATGGTGAAAACCCTGGCATTCATTTCAGCCTCTTTCAATGTCCATGTGTGGAAAACAAATTGATTTTTTTCCATAACAAGTTCACACCTGCCTCCAATAACAAAGCGAAAATGTTAAACGATGAATCATAAATAAATCATGCGCACGAGCTCTGAATTTTGAAAAGAAAGGTCCCCTATCGGTTTTCTAAAAAATATTTCTCAAAAAGAACAGAAAGCGTGAGGTCAGAACCGTGTTTGCATACTCTTATCTGTACACATCTGTAGACCAATGAGAGAGCGCGTACTATCTTTAAATTTAAGAATTTGTCATATTGCTCCCCAGAGTGTCATTTGCGCGAATCATAAATTCTGCAAAACACGACAGTTTTGTTAGCGGGCCCCAGAAAAAGTGCAAAACATCGACGGAATGTTTCACAAAGCGTTGTTTAATGTCACATTTCTCTGCTAAATCTCGCGAAGCACCGACGAAACTAAGAAAAAAACAATAATATCTAATTGGAAGATTAAATGTTAAATTTCATCATTATTCTATATCGAAGAAGCACAAGAACAGGTACCAAAGACTCTCAAATGATAACAAACCCAACTCGAAGAACTGTGCCTGTTAAACACCATAAAACAGTAGTTGTAGCTCCTTGAAATCTAGTATGGACAAGACAGATTTATCGCAAGACAACGGTGCTATTCCTTTCTGTAACAACATGATATATTCTACACTGGCCAATGAAATAAATTCTTGAAAATAATTGAGGCACGCAGCTGAAAAAAGTAATTGCTTGCTCTGTATTATGTCAGTGTATAATGTTTATTGTGAAGGATGGCCACAATTTTTACCCAAGTCTCCTGCATGGAAAAACGTCAGTTGTCATAAAACTTTGTAGCATTTCATTCGTCTGTATCAGTGGGTGGGGGAAATATTGTTACATATCTTCTTGACATTTTTCCACATAGAAATAGATTTATTGTCACACCTAATTTGTGTTACGTTGTTATTGCATGATCGTGATATGTGGAAAATTTGGTGCACCGTATCAGTAGATCATATATTGAAATGAATGTACAATGTATGTAAATAAATGAAATGTAAACCTTTAGTAAAAAAGTGAAGATTTAGAGACACTTCGCCAGAGTAATCATACATCAAAATCGTTGACTATCTCAGTCGCTACAAAATTTTACACATGGTCATTGGAAAGGAAGTTTCACATCGAGTGTTTCTTCATTCTCAAACTGCAAAGGATGTTCTTAATTCTAATGAAGGTTAGAGTCAGTTCTTTATCTTCGGAAATCAGGATATAAAATGTGAGAAAGCCAAGCAACCACATAATTAGCTCTACATGTTCAGTTATCCCATTTATGGAGTAAAGTGTCTTCCTGTGGTAAATGAATTGGAGATGCCTCAGTTCCGATGGAAATTCCTTCAAAATACTCTTCTTTTCCTGTTTTTACCAAAATTGTCAGAACTGCTTTTCTTGTGAAATTACCAGCCCCTTACTTAAAGTGCATGGCTTAAGCAAGCCTTATTTTATTGGATGGAAATTTTAAAGTTAGGATTGTCATGACAGGATGTGACCTCAGTGCTAAGGGTACATGCGTAGCACGTTCCATGTTGTTGAAGGATAAGTCATACAAGTCTGTTTATACCCGAATTTTTTTCAGTATTTTTAAAAGTAGAAATGGAAAAGGCTGCCCATGTTGTGACCAAGGTTAACCCTATATCTGATTTTGAATTCTCTGCTCTAGCTGCTACACAGCTCCCTGTAAATTGATTAGGAGAATTTGGTGTGCGACCACGATAAATGCTCCCCGAAAAAGTTCGAGTATTCCTATAACCTGTTTGCTGAATAAGATATGAATATTACAGGGAGAAGTTACATTTTAGTCACTTCTGGGGGTTCCAAGGTGTAACTAGAAAAACTTTCGGACTTCTTCCCTCCCTCTTGAATGAAAAAAGAACAGCTTCAGGGGTCCTTTCAGTTATCGGGATCTTCGAGAAACGTGCCCTTGCGGTATTTTTTTCGACTTAGTATGCTTTAATCGAAACCTCATAAGAAGGGCTTGAAATGAGTGTACACTCACCCTCAACCACCACAGCACTCTGCATTTTTGGGTGCCTCGCGGGGAGGCTACGGGAACTGTGAGAGAGAAGGAAAAATCCCAAACAAATACTAAGGTGTTCTTCTTGGCAAGTTGCATTTATAAATGCAAATACATTCTAAGTAATTTTTACAGCAGCGTTGCATTGACACAACAAACAAGGAAAACGCGCTTTTAATTACATGGGTGTAGGTCTGTCATCTGTTATTCTTTCCAGGAGTGATTAACACCTAATTTCTCCTCACCATATCACCTATTTAGGTAACGAGAATAAAGGAAATGATCATTAACTAAAGAAGCGCTTGATTGTTAAACAAATTCTCCTTGTCAGCACCGTAGGAAATGTATAGAACATAGTATGGAGAGTTTGCATACTGATGTTAGGGTGTAAAGGGTTAAAAGCGAGAGTTAAATCAAAGTTCTTGACTTCGTTCTCCAATTATTTTGGGTCCGTTCGGAAAGCAGCATCAGGCGGTGAAAGATTCACCCACTTCCATCGATAAACTGCACAAAAATTCTCAACAAAAACTGTTGGCCAAGGAAAGGAAATTGTTGCATTTATCGATTTTCGTGCGCATGCTTTGTACTATGAACCGAGGGATAAAACGAGGGTCGGTAACAAGACTCCTCCGCAATTCCAAATATAGACATGTTAGGTTTTCTACTTTGGCCAATGCGCTAGACATGGAATTTGAACTCCTCCACGAAATCGTATCTGATTCTCTTATGGCACTTCATTTCTAGTTCGAAATCATGTCGACTAATAAACAAGTTCCATAAATTATCATACGGCCTTTTGTCCGAATTAGAGATCGGCCATTAGATCGAGTCTTCTGAACTTGTCCAAGTTGAAGAATGCCCCTCTGACAGTTCGACCCCCAAAAAATCTTCCATTGAGATCCACGAGAGCTGTAAAGAAAGTTGAAGAGGAAAATTAATCAATCAAGTCAAGAGGTAAATTGTTGGTTGTATGAGTCATCTAAAGATCAGGCCCCGGTTGTTCGAAGGTCGGATAACACTATCTACTGGATAAATCTCTATGCGGTGGATAGCGCTAAACGTTTTGTTATCCCTTATCCGCTGGATAGCGGTTTATTCGTTGGACAGTGTTATCCGCCCTTTATACATCAGGGCCCAGGCGTTTTTTAGCTTTAAGACGCTTTCGGTGGAGTGTCGCAAAACAAAAGGAAAACACCGCAGCCAATCACAACAAAGCTTGACGTCACCACGAACCATGAACAACCAATGAAAACAAAAGAAATTGTCGCATGGGAACCCAAGAAAACTCTTGGGAAAGTAGATACACACAAATGATCTCTAGCGCGGAAAAACACGGATAACCATGTCGCGATTGGTTTCAGCTTTGCGTCTGATTGGTTGAGAAGATGGCGCAGGTTTTCGAAACAAATTAGTAATGAAGCAAACCGATGAAATGCTGGGCTTATTTTGATGCTTAAGTAAAAATTGTGTTAAAATACCTTTTATCGCAGACTCAACCCGCTGAAATTCCACAAAAATGCGAACTGATTCCTCGTCAGGCTGAACTCCTTGGGGAAACTGATAGAAAAAAAAGTGCGAGTTAAAAATGAAGAGAGGACACATAAACCGCTTTTTTATCGCCTAGGAACAGAAGGGGGGGGGGGTAGGTTGGAGGATTTGAGCTATGTCAAGATAAAATTTACCTGATTCCCCAATAAGGCTCTCTAATATTCTCGTGATCCCCCCCTCCCTCCCCATCGGCAGTCAATATTCTATAGTCCCCCTTAATACTCTTTTAATCCTCCAACCCCACCCCCCTGGCGACAAAAAAATGACTGTGCTCCTTAAAAACAAATGATACACATGCTTACGAAAGGTAGTGCAAATATGGAAATTTTCGTTTTTTGTTTTGGTTTGTTTTTCCTCTCTGTTTAACTATCAGCTTTCAGACTTAAGATGTTAATGTCAACCAGACAACTGAACAATGATAGCATTTATATATTTGCTAGGCACCCGAATACATCATCAAAGTATTTTAATTATTAATTTAAGTGATTGTCTTATCGTTGAGAGAGAAGCATTGGGAAATTAATTTTCAAACCAAGAAAACTCGAGATTTTACTGCGTTGATCATACAAATGAAGAACGAACGAGCATGGGTATGAAGGGCAAAGAAACACATGGATCAGAAATAAAAACCGTTGATGAAGCCCTTCAAAACACAAGCGAAAATAAGTAAGAAAATCTGCATAATAAATCAGATCAAATCAATAGGATAACTGCTCATTGAACATTAATAAAACGCGAAGAATACAGTTAAAAAGCGGAAGAGTTTAAAACAGGTTTGATTGACGCTGTAACATTTGTAAACTGAAACATCAGGCGACGGGTGGAGCCTTTTTATCCAATAGCAACCCCTGATTGAGCAACACTGCGACATGACGCCTATACCGAATAGTTATCGTCCGTAAAAGGTTCATTTGCTGAAAAAAGAAGGAAAGACAAAGCCAGACGTCTGAACGTAAACACCAATGGCCAACGTTACAGGCACGTCATCACAATTACCAATTGGCGTCCTAACATCTCTCCTAGCTTTCAACATTATCCTCTCCTTCACCGCATCTCTGGGTAATGTTCTGATCCTGTTGACACTTTATAAAGTTTCCTTTCTGCATCCTGTGACAAAGCTCCTGTTTGCGTGTCTGGCAACTACCGACCTTTGTGTGGGTCTCTTTTCGCAGCCTCTGTTCGTAGCTCATATGATACTTAACATTGATATTGCCAACACCAACTTGGATATTCTGCAGTACGTGGGTGAAGTTATTCATATCTCCAGTTCTGTGTTGTGTGGAGTGTCCGTGTTGATATCGACAGCCATCAGTGTGGACAGACTTCTTGTCCTGTTGTTGAGGCTAAAGTACAGACAGGTTGTGACTCTGAAGCGAGCTCAAGTTGTTATACTCTTATGCTGGATAATTGCTGTTTCATGTGGATTGGTTCGCGTCTGGAGTCAAACGATTTCACAGATTTTCGTTTTAGTGGTCGGATTGGTATCTTTAGTTACTTCCGTGTTTTGCTACGTAAAGATCCACCTGAGACTACAGGGGAATCAGGCTACAGTAGAAGACAGTTCTGGGGGTGGACAGTCAAACGAAGATGAAGAGGTGGGTGGAGGAGAGAAAGGGGCAGGAAGAGCCACAGAGAAAGGAGTAGGAGAAACGACAAGGGCAGGTAAAGACACAGAAGAAGAAGCAGGCGCAGGAGTAGAAGGCACAGGAAGAGCGACAGATGAAAGAGGTTTAAGAGCAGGGAAAGCAAAAGTATCACCAAAGCGAAGAATTCAAGAAAGCGTTCGACTGAATATCGTACAATATAAGAAAGTAGTTTCCAGTATATTCTGGTTGCAGTTGACTTTAGTAGCATGCTATGCCCCTTTCTTAACTGTGTCATTATTGAGACATACAGTGCTTAGTGGAAAAACAATTTATGGTCTTTGGCTGTTTACGGCAACGTTAGTTTATTTAAATTCATCTCTGAATCCCTTTCTTTACTGCTGGAAGATCAAAGAAGTGAGAATGGCAGTAAAAAACACAGCCAAGGCGTTTTGCTATTGTTTGTAGTTCAAGGTTACCTGTATTCATGCGAAAAGACTTCCGTGTTCTAAAAAAACACCAGAATCTCACACAAACCGTACCGTTGATACTTAAACAACAGTTCAGTAGAACCTAGTTAAACAGCCTATGCTGCCTCGAGTCTCCTATATCTCAGTGGTAGAGCACCCGAAGTATACTAATCGGTAGATCGTAGGTTCATCGTCTCTCACTTTAATGACAGACTTCAAAGATAACAATCGTCTACAATTCAATATCATAGCAGACTGGGAAATAATTGAGTACTGACAAGCTATAATTGCCCTCGTAAAGTCGAAAACTTAATTACCATGTAAATAGGAGCTATGTAGAATTTTTATCCTCTACCAGGAAGAAGAACTAACATCCATTAGTCTTTATCGTTTAGTATAACATACTTTAAGGAATTGATTGAGATTTTTTCCGCTTTCTACTTGGAACCAGTATTCTAATATGTATTTAACGATTGCACGTGAATAAACAAAACATTTCCGTCAGGTCAGATCATGATTTATGTCCTGTCCTCGCTTATGTCTCCCTAAAAACTGGAGAATAGACTGAATAAATCGTGTCCAGTGAAGTTAAAAACAACAATTTCATTTGAAACCTTTTCAAAGTTTCAGTCGGAACCATTCAAATGCGCGTGCCCCTCAGACCCTGCGTAAGCGGCGTTTTCAATCGAGGAAGAGTGTTCGTTTCCCTAACTTTATGTCATTGGGGCGATGCCAGCTTCTCCATCGATACATTTATACAGAGTGAACCAATGCTTTTTCATGCTTTTCTATTTTCTCTTATAGCCGACTTAGCCCCAGAATCACGACGAAAAAAACCTCCACATGAATACACCAAACCTTAACTTTAAAATGCGTCATATTTGAATATTAAATAATAAATCTAGCAAGTTGCGGGCGAATAAATGATTACAGCATTTCTCTGGTACTTTGTTTATAGAAAATTCAGGAAGAGTAAACTACGAGCACCAGTTAGACTTCAAGTGCTCTTTCATAGTCCAAGTGTGGAAAACAAATTGATTTTTTTCTATAACAAGTTCACACCTGCCTCCAATAACAAAGCGAAAATGTTAAACGATGAATCATAAATGAATCATGCGCACGAGATCTGAATTTTGAAAAGAAAAAACAGAAAACGTGAGGTCAGAACTGTGTTTGCATACTCTCATCTGTACACATCTGTAGACCAATGAGAGAGCACGTACTATCTTTAAATTTTAGAAATTGTCATATTGCTCCCTAGAGTGTCATTTGCGCGAATCATAAATTCTGCAAAACGCGACAGTTTTGTTAACGGGCCCCAGAAAAAGTGCAAAACATCGACGGAATGTTCCACAAAGCGTTGTTTAATGTCGCATTTCTCTGCTGAATCTCGCGAAGCACCGACGAAACTAAGAAAAAAATGAATAATACTTCGTAATTGAAAGATTATATGTTAAATCTCATCATTTTCCTATTTCGAAGAAGTACAAGAACGGGTACTTGAAAGTAAAATCGGAAGATCTTGAGCTCGGACCATCTTGATGAGTAAGGACTCAAATTTTCAGTATCTTTCTATAATTATATGCCTGTAAGAATACCATGTAAAACTGACAGGAAATTTAACCATTAACATCAAACACCCACCTCATATATTACAACTTTGGCAACTTCACCATACTTGTTACACTCCTCCACGACTTCAGGTTGTAACTCTTCGTCCACCTCCCCCGGACCAACCATATTCTGAAAAGCAGACGAACGTTTTTAACCCAAATTAAATGTTGCAACACGCGTAATTAGATTCGAAGTGAAGGAAACCACAGAACAAAGCAATTTACAACAGAATGTTGAAAGCAATCCAGGATTGCTTTGCTTTGAGATTGTTTCAGCGCCTTCGTATCAACTAATGAGATGTAAAATTACGAACAATCACGACTTGGTCACCCGCGTTTTCCCGCGCTTCAAGAAATCTGCTTATTGTGATAGGGTCGCTGGGAAAACTTTAGTTTTGATTTTCCGATACTTAATTAAAAACTAAAATAATTACTCAGAGACTTCGATAAGAAGGCCAACAAACACTGCTACTTACCCTCAAAACAACAACTTTGCTTGGGTTCCTCATAACGCTGGTAACTGGTTCTGCTTCTTGCATTGCAGCTTTTGATTCTGTTGATCAAAAAGGTATTTACTCTTTCATTGAACATGTCAAGTCTCCTTAAAGTTTCCTATTTTCAAAATTTGGGAGAATTAAAGCGGCACAAATGGCGGGAAATTATCTGGGATACCAGAAAGTATAATGGCAAGAAAGTATTTTGGTCCACCGTTCGCAGCTGCTGAGGCTGAGTCGTACACTTTGCATAAAAGAAGTTATCGAGGATTGCACTTGTTTTGCTTTACAATGGTTTGTGATTGGTCCATAAATCTCGCTCCAAGCTCTCAACCAATCAAATGTGAGGTTATAAATAGCTACGACTTGGTCACACGCGTTTTCCCGCGCTTTAGACCGTCACGTGAATTTACCTTGAGTTCTCATTGGTTCATTGAGTTGCGTGCCTTTGTTGTGATTAGCTACTGTGATTATATTGGGTTTGGTTTTTATGCCACAGCCTCTTTAGTTCTTTAACAGAAATGAAAATAAATAAAATACAAACCTTTGTCTTGGTTGATTATTTTTCCGCCTCGCTTGCTGGTTTTCTCCACTTGCAAACATGTGTTAATACCTTGCTCTTGTTTTCCTAAACCTGAAAATAAATAAAAGGTGGCTTCATCAATTATCTATTGCAAAATCACTCTCAAACTTGGATAAATTACAACAGAAATTCCTCTAATTCTTCCCTAAAGAATTGAACTATTAATTCCCAAGATTTACTAGTAAATTCTTTCCACTAAGACTAGCTTGATAACTAGCTGTTTTATCTAAGGAAGTATTTGTGGCTAAAAAATTTTTCTTTCCCGCGGTTTGACTGTCTATTAAAATTATTAAGACAATTTCACTATTAAGCATTCACAAATCTTAGATGCCAAGGGTTTAAAACCCATCACTTCTTTTTCCAAATATTATTACTTTCATCTCATCTAAGAATTGCCTTCTTTGAGTGACAACAAAGTTCATACCAAGGTTCAAACAATTTGCAAACAACAAAAGCAAACAACACCAAAAAACAAAAAACATAAAGTTACCTTGGCCATCTTTCCAACCATATTTTGCCATAATCTGAGATGCAACAGGACTGTAAGGGAGATTGAACAATGTTACCTTAACCAGCTGTATTTAACTAATTGCAATTGAGAATTTTGAAAACAGTTTTAAGTGATATTATTAATGGAAAAAAAATGCTATTGAGCTGTCCATGATTTTAGAGCATAAATCCATCGTCACTAGTTACTGTAATCTCACCTTGCAGAAAAGCCACCAGCTTTTGGTTTATTTTCAGATGCAAAATTAAAGTCTGCTCCACTGGACACTGGCCACTGTTGGGCAGCTTGTTCCACTAAGAGAACAAAAAAATATATTTTCTAAAAGGCCCAATTTGGTAAGAAATGTAAAATACACAAATGTTTGAGACAACAGAATCTCAACCAAGATGATTTCCCTTCAGTAGGTAATTCCTCATAAATTCTTATATGGAAAAGTTTTGATACTAGAAGGGAAAGATTTCCTTATGCTTTACAAAACAACAATCTGAAATACATAAAAGAAAATCAAATTGTTTATAACTTTCTATTTTCAATTTAGGCCTTTTAAGCTTTTTTTTTAAGCCTCAGAAATGGAATTGTCAAGGTATAGGGTTAGGTTAGGGTACAACTCTGGTTTTTCCCTACATACCATAATTATTTCATACTACTTTTACTTATTCCCTTGATATTCTAGGTTTGATTACCAGGTGCTGAATCCTGCATAAGAGATGGGGGTGGTGCAATGGCTGCTCCCCCAGGAAATCCTCGGCGTGGAGGTTGGCTGCCATAACTATCCTCATCATCACCCCTGCGTCTTCCTCTGTCTCTTCCTCTGTCTCTGTGGTAGTCTCGATCTCGGTCTCTGTCCCTATCTCTATCACGATCTCTGTCGCGGTCTCTATCCCGGTCCCTGTCACGGTCTCTCTCGCGATCATGGTCTCTGTCACGCTCACGATCTCTGTGTCTTTCAAGAAAAAGTGTATGTTGGTTAGTAGCCTGAAAGCATGCTCTTGTGCTGCAGAGCAAGCCTTCCTTTATCTGCAGGAAAGTTTGAGGAAAGCAAGCCAAGCAGTAACACTGTATATAAATTTATTAATCTACTGGTAGTTGTCATGGTTGAAACTGAATCTAGATTTTCTTTCAATTTGAAAGTTATTTGAATCCAGATTTTTTTGTTATTCTTTTTTCTATTTAAATACCCACAGTCTTTGAACACAAGGAAATACAATTCAATCTAGTTTGAAATCATTTTCACCTGGAATCATTCCACAGAGAAACATTGCTGGTTGAAGTGCCACCTTACCTCTCTCCTCTATCATAATCACGGTCACCTCGTGATCTTTCTCGATTGTCTGTCCTCTCTGACCTTTCACCTCTGTCCCCTCTCTCATTTTCTTTCTCTTCTCTGAACTTTTGTTTGACCAACTCATATTCATTTGGTCTCAAAGGATCATATTCATCGATGACAACAGCAAGTGAGGCTTCTGTCTCTGTGAAAGGTTCTGGGACCTTTTGGAGGTCAGCATCCTTGCAAAATAAATGAAAAGATGATGACATTATTTATGATTTTAAATATTTCTATCAAAGTCAAGATCAAAATTTGCAAGTATACATTCAGATAAAGATGTTTTAACCCTTTAAATCCCAAGATCTGATTGTTGATTCTCCCTTCTAGCTGCTACACAAGTTCTTGGTACTGAGTTATGAGAATTTGGTGTTAGATCAAGATAACAGTTTCAACCTGATAAGTTTGAGCATTCTCATTACCTGTTTACTGGATATTGTATGGATGTCATAGGGAGAGGTGACATGTTAATCACTTCAGGAAATTCAAGGGTTAAGAAAAGAAGAATTATTATATAATGATAGAAGTTGGCAGTACTCTGTTGCAGGACCTACTAAACTTAGTAAACATCATTATTCATTGGCAATTTGACAAAGCTCTCACTGGCTAATGAAGGTTAATATCTTTCAACTGGATATAAGAATGTTTTGACAACTTTACAAGGATTCTCCACCTTGCCTCTCTTCAATGATCATCAGTCAATTTGAAGCTCTTTACTATGACTGAAAGATTGTTTCCTGGAATCTGTTGTACACACAGCAGCCACACGACAAACATCATATAAACCTTGTCCTCTTGCACTGTAAGATATGTTACAGATCTTCTTTTTCCTTGCCCTTTTATGACCCATGCCTTTGCACCATAAATTAAAGGGGCAAAAACTCATTCCATAACCTACAGTGCAGTACTTGCAAATGATCAGAAAGAGGTATGAGAGGTATAAAGCTTACCAGCATTTCTCTACCATCAATATCTGAAGCTGTAGAATCCTACAAAGAGCAAGAACAAAAATTAAAACAATGGGCCATAAAATCCAAGTAGAAAAAAACATGGACCATAATTTGCATCATAAACCTCAAAATCAGCTAGCAAGATGCATGTAAGAAAAAAAATATTAACAAAATATAGAATAATAACCTCCAAATCATCAGCTGATCTCTTGATGCCCAGGACCACTTGATTTACAGCCTTTGTTCGCTGTAATACAAAGCATATTTACAAATCAAAAATCAGAAGTAAGAAGAAACTTAATTGTGATAGGGAGACTTGTAATCAAAGTGTAGAATTTCACAATGGAAGTGGAAGGACTGACTGCATCCCAAGACAAACAACAAACTTCATCAAACTTGAGATGGCTAAAAACAGCTTTCATACATCCCAACCAGGTATCTTCAGAGTGCTCAAAAACAAACTTCCCCTCTTCATACTCAAACAATTCTCACACACATATTGACCAAAAGATTGCTGATTTATTATGTCAATGTTATTGGGAAATTCAGTCAAACAGTTTTTGGGGACAGCCTCGGCAAACCTTTGATAGATTTGTTCACAACTTCAGGATTTCTTTCTTTGAGACAGAAGCATAGGAAAATTGTTTCTGGCCACCCCAGTTGTGTTGCCAAAACCAAAAGTTGATAGGTTTGATTCAAGAACATAATAGGAATCAAAGACTGTGCCATAAGGAGAGAGGAAGTTTTAAAGGGTTTGATTGTTAGCATTTGAACAACTTACAGATGTTGGTAATGGTCTTGTTTGAGCAACTTTCTTTCTCTGTAGCTGAGTCTGTAGAAGTTTGTAACTGGAGGACCAGCCAGCTGCAAGAAATTTTATCTCTTTATTTCTCAAGAACTTATCTGTTATTTTCTCTTCTCGCTGTCATAAATATCCTTTTAAATTAGTTTTGAGGATTTTCTGTTATATCAAGTTAAAATCAAGATAGCACCATTCAGTTAAATGTAATTATAACGCTCGTTCAACCTGAGATGGGGGGGAACCCAAGTATTGATCTCTGTTACCTTCCCTGACCTCCACGTGTTTATGTCGCATCAATTCCCAGTCTGGAGCAACAAAAACGTGTCTGTGCTTTCCTTATCAGCCAGTACGTAGTCCAAATGATATGCCTTCGTTCTAAAGTTTCCATTTATCAAATCGAACTGTATGATCACGACTCACGATTTATTCAAATCTGAATCACTTTCGCTCAACAAAGTTGTGTTGCGAATGCTACAAATTTATATTAATTGCCGGTTAGCTGCAAAAGACTACACCTTGAAGTAAAATAAACCATAAGATAACTTACAAAGCTTGGTAATGTCGGTTCCTTCCGTGGCAGTTGATTGCATTGGCACACCGTCGATGTCGACTCCATCGTAGAGCGACATGTTGTCCTCTCTGAGGAAACTGACTATAGCTTTGGAACCTCGCCTTTAATTCAAAATGGCGACTTAGCAGCCGCAAGTTTGTTTACGATGGACCTGAAATTATTGCTGCATCTTTGCGATATTTCTGGAAGAGATCAGGGAACTTCTGTCGTCTAAAGAATATTTTATCTCACCTTTGTTCGAATTTCATCATTGTCTGTGGATAGAAAGATGAGAAACGGCTGCTTGCGTTCATTAAAGAAGAGTGCCATTCCAGTTTGGAATTTGCGTTCTGGATAACTTGCAACGAAGTTGTCATGGAAATCGTCTCGGAAGGAAGGTAAGTTGTCATTATTCTTAAAGTCGAGACTTTATTACGGTTAAGTTGCTTCTTCTGATGCGTGATGTGTTTAAAAAAATTATTGTATAACTCTGACAAGTATGTTTTAACTGGTGTTAAGAAACCATGCATGCATCTCATTGTTTTATTGTTTTCTTTTTATTTTCAAGTTTGGAGTCTATAAGCAGACCTGCAAGTTGTGATACTACAAGATCTAGAGATCAAAACTTACCTCAAGTAAGTTTCCAATGGGGCCTTTCCATTCTAACAAACTCTAAATTAGAAATACCATAAATACATTGTTATTTTGTAACATTTAGTTAGTGATCATTTCCTTGATTCTCGTGACCTTAATGTTTGATTCAGGGGTGATATTGTAAGGAGAAAATAGAAGCTGGTCACTCCAAGGGGTTAAACGGTTAACAAACTAAGTGAGGTGGCAAAGAATGCTCAGCTTCTTCCTTGTCTTCTGGATGTAAGTTTGAGGAAAGGAGGAGAACCAACAACAAACTCAACCCAAATGTGAGGCCAGATCCAAGAATCGAACCTGGGCCTGACAGTGGTGGGATGCAAGTGCTTTCACCACTGTGCCATCCCTGCTTCCCTTGTTGCATTGTAGAGTGAAATGCAAAGGTCCGGGGTTTGATTCCTTATGGTGGACCTCAGGTGTTTTTCTTTGTCTCACCCTTGTGACTGATGTAATAGCATATTTTGGTATATCAAAACCCATGCATTTATATATTACAACTGAAGATGAACTTTAAGCCAATTTCAAAGAAAAATTGACCAGTTATTTTTTCCCAACCAGATTTTCACATTTTATGACAGATAATTTTTCCTGTTAAATTTACCAGTTGACTGGAATTCCCAATTTTTAACCATTCACTGTTTTTCTACATTGTAATAGAAACATGGTCAAATGAGAGGCTTTCTAGAAGAGCTCCCTCCTGAAGGTAAGCTTGGAAGAAACTTCATGTCATTTTGAGTCAGAACTTTCATTTATTTCTTATATGCAGACCTTAAAAATTCATTTTAATCAATTACCAGAGTGTTGGCATTACTCTGAATTATTTTTTTCTGAGTATGCTTGTGACTCATGTAATAATATTATCTTTCACAGTATCAAATAGTAAGGTTTCAGCCAAGTTTCAATATATTGCTTTCAGCTGTCACCAACACCTTAGATGAAGATGTTGATCATCTTGACTCTGAGGAAGACTCAGTAAGTTTCATTTGTAATCCTTTTAACATGGTTTTCATGAAGAATTGTAGCAGGAGGAGAATGCTGCTACACTTGTAGGTTAAACAGGAGAATATTCTCTACATCTGAATATAATCTAGTTCAGGTCATTGAAAAATAGAAGGCAAATTCTGGGTAAAAGCCTAAGAATTCTTGCTCTGAGCACCCTGTTCAAGAGATCAACTTGTGAACAGGTTCCTGAAAAGTAATTTTTTTAATGTTTTAACTTACCATCAAGAGCATCAAAAAACATTAAAACTTGTTTGCAAAGAAGAATTGACATTCTTAATACTCTTGCAGATCATATCTCCTGTTGAAAATGATGTTATTTTAGAAGACGTCCCAGAAAGAACTGCTACAGCAAACAGCAGTGTAGAAGAGGAAGTGGTAGATGATCAGGAAGATGATCAATCAGGTAAATCTGTCAATCGACTCTTTAACTTCCAGATCAAATTTGTCATTGTCCTTATTGTCAACCATTCAATTCTTATAATGTTAGTTTAGAGAATTTAGTATTGGATCAACTAATTATCCCCAAATTGATATTTTTCTTTGTTCTCATCACTTATCTGGTTGATATTGTATTGATACTGTATGGAGAAATTCTGTCTTCGTCACTCACGGGGTTAACCCTTTAACTCCCAGATCAAATTTGAAATTCTCCTTACAGTCAACCATTCAATTCTTATAATGTTAGTTTAGAGAATTTAGTATTGGATCAACTAATTATCCCCAAAGTGATATTTTTCTCTATTCTCATCACTTATCTGGTTGATATTGTATTGATATTTTAAGGAGAAATTCTGTCTTCGTCACTCATGGGAGTTAAAGGGTTAAAGGACTAAGAGATCCAAAAGTTTATTCTCCAAAATGATCCTCATGCATTTCTTTATTGGTTATTTGTATCCGCAAGTTGATAGGTTGCTTAATTCTTTCTACCTGCCTGCTTGCTAGTGAATTAAAATTTGAGGGAGAATTTGCCGTAAGATCTGCCCTGCTTAAATGGAAAGTGGGTAATTGTGGTATCCAGAATCTTCTGCTGTGTCCAGCCTGCCCCCCTGCTCCCATGGCAGTAAAACCAGAGGAACCAAGATAGAGTTGGATGGAAGGACATTGCAGTCTATTTGCACAATACATAACTTCATTATTTACTTTCAGTTGTTCCTTTATTTATATATTTATATAAACAGAGGAGAGTGCATCAGAGAGGAGTGGTCACGTAGTCAAACAGGGTGTGTCCCAAGATGAGGAGGATTTTGAAGCAAATCTGGATCCAAAAGTTAGAAAAGGACTGGAGAGGATAAGGAAACTGGATGCAATTCTTGCTGATAAACTGAAGGCGAGTCGTTGAATTTTGCCATATACCTGTACTTAATTTTTATTTGTCTTCTTTGCTCTTGCCTACTTTTTGCTTTGTTTCACAAAAAGGAACATGAAAATTTGGAAAGAAAATCTCCCAGTCTTAGTGTTCCAAGCTCAATTTTGTTTTTGAAGTCACCATTAGATCTAAAATTATAAAAAGATTTTTGTTGTACAAAAGTTTTCCAAAAGAGAGTGCATCTAAAAGAAACATCTGTGACAGTTTTGAAAATGTCCTCCTCACTTTGACTTCAGACCATAAAAACTAGATTATAAGAATGTTACAACTTGGTAATCATGACCACCGAACACAGGTCACCAAATTGGTGATTTACACTGCAAGTTTAGTTGGGAACATTTTCCCAGAATCCATAGCGACCAAAAATCGTCAACGCTTGGTATGTCTGTTACAAGTCTCTTACAGCTTTTTTCCATGTTTACTGGTACCCACTCCTACTCCTGCTGGAAAGAAGCCTTTCAAGAGTTTTGCAAAGACCTGCTCAGAGCTAAAACCCTGGTTGGGTTATTATCATTCCCTGACGATGCCGTAGATCGGCGAACGCTTTGGAAAAAAAATACAGTAGCTCATGGCCTCCATTAAATCGTCTTTTTAATCATTTTTAACAAAATTCTGCTGAAGGACAACTTCAAACGTTCACTAGGGTCAATGAATTTGACAGTCCTGCCGCTATTCCTTCCTTTTACTTCAAAAAGAAGTGTTGTCAACCTTGCTAAGTTTTCTGAAACATTCACAGAAAGAAAAAGAGGTCAAGATTCATAGAAGACAACTGGAAAAGAAGTGGAGAGAGGAGTTAAATCAACTGGATCAACAACGAGAACAAGAAGGTCATGGTAAAATTGACTTGGGTGTCAGCCATGCACTGGCTCTTGGTCCGCCCACTGATGACTACGTCCCAGGTAACAGTTATGAATAATCGTTTACTAAAACAACAGAGGTAATATTCGCAGGCATGACTTTGTTTTGGGCCGGACTGACTCGTTTGAGCAACGATATCCGGCGAGTGGTCTGCGAGAGGTCTAGTACATATAATTAGTACCAGACACCCGGTAAACTTATCCCCGACTTGTCCTTTCTCTTCTCGCGGGTGGAGAAACTCGTGGCTTGAGCTATCGAATAGATGTCTTATCAATGTTTAAAAACTGCTAGTTATCACTAACTCTGTATTTATTGAAAGCAGATGAAGAGGAGCCACCTCTTACACCGTTGTTTGCCACACAACCTCTCGCTGATGAACGAAAGCACAGCTCTTCTCCATCTGACAGAGGTAGGCCAGCAATTTTTTGTCTTTTTCTTAAGTGCTTCTTTGTTTAGGTCGGAGAGTAATTTGGCAGCGATATGCTGACGGAAAGCTACGAAGACCCGGACAAAGACCAGACCACACTTCTAAGAACCTTTGCCTTAGTCTTTGCAATAAGCGAAATACTTCGCTCTATAATTGGTTCAGAAAACTTACGCCATTTTCCCAACTAATCAGATTCAAAAGTAACACCAATCGCGACTTGGTCACTTGCGTTTTCCCGCGCTTCAGGCAGTTGGCTTGATTTCACTTAAATTCTCATTGGCTGTTTGTGATATCTTCCTTCGCTCTGATTGGTTCTTGTGATTACTTTGGTTTTCCTTTTGCGACACACAATCGGAATGCGCTCTAGTGAAGTCGTTGCCAAAGAGTAAGCGTGTGCGTTTCCCTTTTCAGGTGTTACCTCCAGCTGTGATTCATGGACAGAACAAGATATTGACGATGTAGAAAACAAAGGCTCCAAAAGAACGCCCAAGAGGAGAGGGAGCAAACAATCTTCCAAAACTAAAAGAAAAGAACAGAACTTTGTCAAGCGAAACATCGAGGTATAATGTGATTTACATATTTCGTTTTATTTTTGTTTCTAAAATAGTTATTCTCCCGACCGATTGTTTTGTATTTCCTGTAATATGAGGTGTAAGAATTTAACACTACATCAGCTCAGCTAAGTATATATTACGTAACTTTGTTTCAGTTGGCTGCTGATGCTGGGAATCTGATCCCCATGACAGAAGCGGAGAAAAAACGTTTAGATGAACTACTCTCGGATGA